ACTTGCCCTGAGGTCACACTGTAGATTAATGCTGATGCCAGACACAGTGCTTCTCTCTCTTAAATCCCAACACAGCCCCCTAACCAGCAGCCCATGCTTTTGCTCACCTCCTAAACCTCCTTCCTTGCACACATGCCCCTGCTCCTCCCATTAATCTTTCTTTTTGCAAACTTGCACGGTCATCTGCCTCTGCTGTGGACTGAGACGGGGTGAGCTTTCATCACCACCTTCAGCTGGGCAGCCCCACGTTTTTCCTCCTCTCCTATTCACTGGCTTCCTACCTTCTGTATCTATCTGGCATAGCACCCAAACCCTGGTAGGCTGGGGAAGCTGAGCCAGCTCACATTTTTTTAGATGACTTTCTTTTAGCTGATCTTTTTTTTTTTTAGGCAGGGATGGGGGTCCAGGCCTAGCTTACACCAGTCTTGAAATGCAAACTGCTATTGAGCTGCTTTAAGAAAGAGACTCCTTTCTGCGGCCTCAGATGCCTTTATTTTAACACAGTTTACAAAAACGGGGTAGAAAATTATAGTCAAGGCTTTGCCTACCTTACAGTTTCCTTAGCTCCCCTTCAAGCTATTTACAAACATTTCCTACCCACTTAAAAAAACCACTCTGGACAGTTTGGATGAACAGCAGACACCAGCAGATAAGGTTTCAGCAGAAACACATACTCATTGCATACTGGTTACTTCAGGCTGGTCCAGCATTGAACTGTTCAGCTCATCTTCCTGCTGCTGCTGTTCCACAATGCTCTGTGAAAGAAAGATGCTGAGGCACCTACTTCCAGGAGAAGTCGTTGAGGTATGAAGCCCCAGCAGGCAAGATAAATCCAGTCCAGTCCTCCGAGCAGAGAGGTCAGACCTGTGTCCGGTGAGCACTTGGGGATGGCTAGCTCCAGGCAGCTGCACAGCAAATTTGGATGGCTCATTTTATGACATCCCTCTTCTGCCAGAAAAATGGATCATCTTCTTTTTCTTAGGGTGAGGTGGATTATCAGATTTGAAGTAGCAGGTCTCAGGTGCTCTTTCTGAAAGGATCAGCTGGACCCACGCGAGGAATCAACGACCTTGCGACAACTCACCACCAGCCTTGAGAATCCGTAAAACCTGGTTATTCCCAGGATTCTGGTAATGGTGATTTTCAGATGGATATAGACCAACTGACACATCAAGAAAGGGAAATTATCTTTCACATGAAATGTTTGCTATGCCAGACTGTTATCATCAAGATTAGCTGCCAAACAGAAAATGTAGGTATGATCTTGGGAACAAACAGGTAGGAATGGATGCACTTTCTGGTTAACACAACGCCCCTAGAAATGCACAGACCTGGCCGCTTTCAGCAAGGACTACAAGACCAGGTAGGAATGGATGCACTTTCTGGTTAACACAACGCACAGACCTGGCTGCTTTCAGCAAGGGCTACAAGACACACCTTTCTCCCCAAGGCCACCGCAGCTGATTCAGTCCTGTTTTTCTTTTATTTCTCCAGTAAAGAATCAGCAGAAGGTTTCCAGTCCTGCATTGCAAATAAGGCATCTGTACACTGTACAGTGGACTAAGAGAAAAAAGAAGAGCAAAGCCAACAGCTTTCTTGTGTTTATCAAGTGTCTGGATTTTAGAATAATCAAAAGACATGGCGCTCTTGTCCTGTATTTTATTAGGAAATTAACAGGCTGATTGATAACCTGAAATCACATAGTGAATCTCATTTAAAAAATGTTCAAAATCATGACAATAATTTTGGTTTCTATAAAACATAATGCCCAGATACAATTCCTGTTTATGCCTGTAAATTTCTACACCCTTAACATTTATCTAGTGTACAGCAGCGAGGCTGGATAATTGTAACATAATCTGTAAAGTTAAATACAGTATACTTTTCTCTGCAGTCCAAGTGAAAGACGAAATGTTGAAAAGAAAGCCCAGAATATGAGCAGCACTATGAGAAGGTTCCCTGCGATCTCAGTTCATTACACATCAGTATTTCAGACTGCTCAAAGATATTCAAGACTGGTGACGTTAACTGCTGTGCAAAGTTACGAGGCTTTAGGGCATCAGTTTTCCAGGAGAGGGAGAGAGACCGCTGTGGGGTACAGGCTCTGCAGTGAGGGGAATAGGGTGCACCAGATGTGTACGATGCTGAAAGTGCAAGATGTCTACGTCTCCCTCTTTTGCCAGCGGTATGGGCTACCACCACCACCACATTGGACTAAATAGCTTTTCCTGACACTCTGTCAGCTTTAAAGATGTTCCACGTTCAAAGCAGGGCTATTATGGTACAGGTGCTGACTATCTGCAAGGGCTGAATTTCAACCTTAGCAATCAAAGCCCAAATCCTGCTCATGTTGTGTATGTGAAAAATCACACGGAGCCAAACACTGCTGGCTTTATTGCAACTGTCATGTGGGGTAATGTGTTCAACTCTGTGGGTTGTAGCTGAGGCCCTCGGTCCTCTAAGTTAGAGCTGGCACTTTTCAATACCAAATGACTCTTGTAGAGAGCTGAATTTCTCAAGACGTTATTCAGGAAACTATTCAAATTGTCATATATGCTCTCTGGATGAGAGATGCTTTCCTGAACTGGGGCCTCGATTCCTGCGAGGATTACGGATGCTCAGTAAGTGGCCAGCCCCAGCACTTGACCAGCAAGTCCAGTCACTTCAGCCTCTTGTACTACTTTTGCTGACTGTAAGCTAAAACCCAGTACATTTAAGAAGTAGTGGGCCTTCTTTTTAAAAAGCTATTTCAGGACAAGTACATTCAGACCACTGTGTTTTCTATTTATATTGAAATTCTTTGGCAACAATTTTCTAGAAAGTAAGTGGCCAGCCCCAGCACTTGACCAGCAAGTCCAGTCACTTCAGCCTCTTGTACTACTTTTGCTGACTGTAAGCTAAAACCCAGTACATTTAAGAAGTAGTGGGCCTTCTTTTTAAAAAGCTATTTCAGGACAAGTACATTCAGACCACTGTGTTTTCTATTTATATTGAAATTCTTTGGCAACAATTTTCTAGAAAGCAATTTTTTCTATGTAATACTTTATTGTCTCCCCATGAAAAACTGATCTCTTAAAAAATCTAAGCACTTTCCCACTATAAATAGTATTGTTCCAGATTAAGGATTAGTTCCTCCCTGAAGAAAAACAGATTTAAAAAACCTGGTCATTTTCTGATAACTGTTTATGTAGTAACGTTAAAATAAAACAGAAAAAGAAAATCATTCAGTATGTGGTTTGTCATTCCCTAGAATGTTAGTGTACGTTTATACAATAAAAACAACATAAGTTATCCTAGTTTGTTTTAAAAACCTTAGTAGTAGAAATATATTGCTATCTGCAGATTCATAAACAGAATGCACTTCTTCCATCTAAGTTCAAGTATTATTAGAATATTATTATTACTATTATTATTATTATTAAAGGAGCTCTAAATCCTTGCCATTTTGCCTGCCTTTACATCGTTTTGGTCTTTCTGAGAAATAACGAGTTGTGATCATTTGTTCGTGAACAAAATCAACATGGAGCTTCAGTAAGTTTTGCCTGGTAGAAGACAGCCTGGCAATCCTTCGGCTATTACGAGTGGCTTTAGAAGAGCGTATTTGAGACTAGTGGTATAGATAAAGTGGTCGCGTGTTTTCTTGGATGGCTGATGAACTTAATTCCTTCCAGGTTCTCAACATTCAGTCCCATTTAAAGGAGAAAGGTGGGAAGAACCCAACCCAGACTTATACCACATCAGGATATATCATCTTCATTTCTTCTCGGTACTGTCAGTTGCTCGTAGGTCGGCAGGGTGTTATTAGGGAGGAAAAGATCCGAATTGACGTTGTTGCCTCTCTGAGATGATCTGTTGTTCCCTTGATCCCCCTGCTGATGGGAAACCAGATGATGTAGCATATCTGTAATGAGGTTCAGTTTCTGGTCCATTTGTGTAACCTATGAAGGCAAAGGGAAGGTTTGTTTTGAATTTCTCAAGACGTTATTCAGGAAACTATTCAAATTGTCATATATGCTCTCTGGATGAGAGATGCTTTCCTGAACTGGGGCCTCGATTCCTGCGAGGATTACGGATGCTCAGTAAGTGGCCAGCCCCAGCACTTGACCAGCAAGTCCAGTCACTTCAGCCTCTTGTACTACTTTTGCTGACTGTAAGCTAAAACCCAGTACATTTAAGAAGTAGTGGGCCTTCTTTTTAAAAAGCTATTTCAGGACAAGTACATTCAGACCACTGTGTTTTCTATTTATATATAAATTCTTTGGCAACAATTTTCTAGAAAGCAGAATCATTTTTTCTATGTAATACTTTATTGTCTCCCCATGAAAAACTGATCTCTTAAAAAATCTATAGCACTTTCCACTATAAATAGTATTGTTCCAGATTAAGGATTAGTTCCTCCCTGAAGAAAAACAGATTTAAAAAACCTGGTCATTTTCTGATAACTGTTTATGTAGTAACGTTAAAATAAAACAGAAAAAGAAAATCATTCAGTATGTGGTTTGTCATTCCCTAGAATGTTAGTGTACGTTTATACAATAAAAACAACATAAGTTATCCTAGTTTGTTTTAAAAACCTTAGTAGTAGAAATATATTGCTATCTGCAGATTCATAAACAGAATGCACTTCTTCCATCTAAGTTCAAGTATTATTAGAATATTCTTATTACTATTATTATTATTATTAAAGGAGCTCTAAATCCTTGCCATTTTGCCTGCCTTTACATCGTTTTGGTCTTTCTGAGAAATAACGAGTTGTGATCATTTGTTCGTGAACAAAATCAACATGGAGCTTCAGTAAGTTTTGCCTGGTAGAAGACAGCCTGGCAATCCTTCGGCTATTACGAGTGGCTTTAGAAGAGCGTATTTGAGACTAGTGGTATAGATAAAGTGGTCGCGTGTTTTCTTGGATGGCTGATGAACTTAATTCCTTCCAGGTTCTCAACATTCAGTCCCATTTAAAGGAGAAAGGTGGGAAGAACCCAACCCAGACTTATACCACATCAGGATATATCATCTTCATTTCTTCTCGGTACTGTCAGTTGCTCGTAGGTCGGCAGGGTGTTATTAGGGAGGAAAAGATCCGAATTGACGTTGTTGCCTCTCTGAGATGATCTGTTGTTCCCTTGATCCCCCTGCTGATGGGAAACCAGATGATGTAGCATATCTGTAATGAGGTTCAGTTTCTGGTCCATTTGTGTAACCTATGAAGGCAAAGGGAAGGTTTGTTTCGTAGCAGCACGTGAAAAAATTGCAGCAAACCATGTGATGCAAATGCAATATTAAAATTACAGTTTTCTTAATTAGGATCACAACCACCTCTACGAAGACACCAGAGAGTCACAGTCCATCAAACAAAGCATTAGAAATTTAATGCAATAGGTCAAAGTCGGATGAGGACAGGCCTGTTAATACTCACCTCTGGTATGTGCTTTGACACTCATTTTATACCTGGATGAACGCATGACAAACGGGCTTTTAAAGAGATGTGCTGGGATAGAGAACTAAGTGCCAGAGTTTCTGTGGGTTTTTTGTTATTATTATGTCCCTATTTTTTTGAAACATGATAAACTTCTAACATGCTTATATGCCTTAATAACATCAATATGCTCTAGTAAATATCTGCTCTACTTGCAGTGATCTAATCAACTCTAAGCTAGGACTGACTGATGCTCTTTGTTACATTTGGGCCCAATTACCAGCTCAGGCCACAATATGCCCCACAGATAATTTTGCCAATGCAAGTGTATAGCAGCTGGGGTGTGTGGCAAGGGCTGGGAGTGGGGCATGGTTCAGTTTTACGCTCTCACCCTCCCAAAGACACAGTGTTCACTAGGATTGCCGTTTGAATGGCATGATTCACAGCAAGCCAGAAACTCTTCTAAGAGGGGTGAAAGCTAATTTATCAACTGGGGGGCTGCAGGGGAAGGTTCAGCCTAAATCCATAATGCTCATTTTCTTCTGCCTTTAGACAGAAGCCCCTTAAATTATTTATTTCCTCTTTTTTGCTTTTTCTGCTCTTTCTTTTAATCTTCGGGAGAAATATAATTAAAAAACCAGGATACTTAATAGAGACTAGGTTATGGATTTGTCCAAAATTTAGACTCTATTTGGTGTAAACTTGTGGTACTCAGAGGAAAATCAAGAACGAAATGTTTCTAGGAGCACCACAGATCAGCCTTTGGTTTCTTGCATTTTCCCATCAAGAAGTAATCTGTACCACCCCTTTTATCTGGCATGGGAAGCCTCCTCTCTGTGCTGCCTCCAATGTACTGAGCCAGACGTCCTGAGGGGAAGATGGGCACTTCCAGCTTCAAAGTCATGCCCACTCTCTGCCCCTTGGCATTGCAAGCATTGAAATTGGGCAGTAAGAGTCTTTCTTATGGCCTCCTACTCCCTTCTACAGGCCTAAAGAGAAAGCCATGATTTTGCCATTGTAGTCTCTGACCCATTGATCCCCAGGGGTCCTAAAACACTAAGTAAATTCTAGGCAAAAAGATGTAATAGGTTTTAAAAAGGGGAAAAAAAGTAAGCAGAAAAAAACCTGATAGGAATAAATTGCTGCCTAAAATATCTGCTAGAAAGTAGTGAAAGGCACATAAAACCGCCAGAGAGAGCATGAGTGGGAGCAATTTATATGTGCCTGGCTATCATCCAAGTATCACACAGGATAGTAAAAGACAGTAAGGCTGAGCAGAACATCAACAAACCTGGAGGATTTCAGCAGAGACTAAAATGTTTTTCCACCGTAGAGAAAATGCTGTTTTTTTCAAACATTTTGTACAACTGGTAGGGAAGCAGATACAGTGATTTAAAAATATGAGGTGCTAGAGATTTATACTTTGCAGCTGGTTTTGAAAACATTAGGCAAAGCACCCTAGATGGTACATGAAACACTAGTAATTCTGGATGGAGCTGGCTGTTGAAAGATGAGATTCTTCAAATGAGGAAGCTGAAGAACACATAAGTTCAAGATTTCTAGAAGAAAATACAGATGGAAAATCGAGCAGATCATCAGGTTGTCGTTTCATCGCTATTTGTTCGCTCCCTTAAAGAAAGGCATGCTTTGCCCAAATGGTGCCCATCACAGATGGCAAACTCATAATGCTCCAAGCGTGACAGTACAAATCAGTGCTAGTGAAGCCTGAAGAATACCTCATTCCTCCATCCCCCACTGCCCAGGTATCACTTGCTTTCTGAGACAGCTGCGCTGGAAGGACTGCAGTGGAAGACTGCAGACAAACAGCTATCTTCAGAGTCCGAAGGACAACTTTTCCTCTAACAAGAAATGTCTTTTTGTTAATTATTCTAAACTAACTATGGGATTTTTGTAGATATATTTCTTAATTTGTGATTCCAGGCAGGGATTACCAGAGAAAACACAGACTGAAGATATATCTGGAAAATGTGCATTTATGAAACTCTTGCAGTGATGAGCTATTGAACATGACAGTAGATTGGACTGAGATCTGGATAGTCCTTCAAGAGCTGTGCATCTTGGTGATGAAGTACTGGAGAGAAGTGAGATGTGAATATTCTTGCTGGGAAATAAATTCCCAGAGATAATTGTCTAATTTTTTCTAGGGAACAAGGTTTGGCTGCTGCAGCTGTGGAGTGCAGGAGGCCCACAGAAGCAGAGGCAGAAGCTAATTACTATTGAGCTGAGCCATATGAGGTAAAAAGTAAAGAACTTCGTCTTCCACGTTCCTGCTTATCGGGGTAGGGCTCTAAAGCCACAAAGGTTTTGTGGAGGGAGGTCCAGATAGCTGGTTGTGTTTAATTGTTGTTTAATCAGTTTTGCTTTCCAATATAGCAAGCCATTTCCCAGGGAGTTCTGTGCCCGTGAAGGGCTTGCTCCAAGACACACTGAAGTCAGTGGTAGTTTTTGGCAATCACAGACTTCCAGTGACTTCAGTGGGCTCTGGATCAATCTTGGACTGAATTGTCAATCCCAAATAGTAACATATTCTTTGGATATTAAAAGAGAAGGAGCAATCTGGATTTCTGTTCATTGCTCTGCTCATGCTTCTTGGGGCTGGATCAGAAAAGATGACATTTGCAAATGAGATGGCAATACGACGATGGGCCCCCATCCTCGGTTCTGCCAAAGGGGTGTCTGCTTAAAGTATGAGACATTTTAAAGAGAGAATTAAAAGCCACCAGAAAGCAACTTCTACTGTCATCGCAGGCCTCTGATGTACAAGAATAAGAGGCTTGCTGGTGAACGGCCTTGCTTGTTAGCGTGCCCAATCAGCCCGTCGTCATCCAAACACACATCCTGAAATACATCATTCACTTGTTTGCTGCAGAGATAATTATACCCACTAGAAAATTGTCATTGTGTGCAATACCCTTTTTATTAAACTAGCTTTATGCACTTAGCATGGAGAAGTGTATCATCACCCCTGAATCATACTTTCAAACACATTTACTTAATTAGAAATTAGCTATGATGCCAGAATGAATAAAAGTAAAGCAAACAGAAAAACTGCTGATGTTGCTATAATCTTAACTGCTTTGGACAACTCTGATCCCTCTACTTAAAACAGCAAACAGTGTTAATTATGCAGAAAAATAACTCAGACTGATTTGTTTCTTTTATGAAAAACTAAGTAAGCTCTTTCTAGCTGATTTATGTTTCATTAAAGCATGATGTTTGGATGATCAAATTCTTTATATGCAAATAATTCCCTTTGTATTTTATAGATGTTGGGGAGAGGAAGCAGTGTTTGAAACTCTTCAGAAATTACACAACACAGTTACTCCTAAGTTTTACTGAAATATTGTATGAAAATGAGATTTTTCCATCCTCCGAGATAAGTTTTTTTAAAAAAAGATCCAAGGATCATAGATTGAGCACAGATGGAGAGAAGCAGATTTAAACAAGTTTTGAACCTAGCTCTTAGAAATGAATAAAAAAATCCCATCCATGCAGTGCACTGAGAAAAAAAAACCCAAACCAAATAGTTCTTCACAAAGGCTGAAATATTAGAGCACAAATCTTAAATGGCACATCATGAAGAAATACAGCTATGTTACAGAACAGATTTTTGCTTTCCCTAAAAAGTCACAGAGGCACATGACTACTGTGACACTCCACACAATAGATTAGTGGTGATGACATAGTTCCTATGAACCACAAGGTCCTCTTAGGTCATGTTTTCAGGAGCAGCAGTCCTCTACAACTGGATATAAAGTGACATGCCAACTTTTATAAAGGTATCAAAGGCATTCCAGGAGGTGCTAGTGAACAAGACAGAGACTGTTCTTCTGATGAGAGGAGAGAACAAAATAACGAGCAATTTATCTATTAAAATTCTCCAGATCGTCTCATTATATTCTTTTTAAATGCCCTATAATTTTAAGCATTCATAACAAATTCATGGTATGATTCAGAACATAAAATGTAACAATGAAGTTTTCCTTGCTTTTTTAAGCATTCATAACAAATTCATGGTATGATTCAGAACATAAAATGTAACAATGAAGTTCTTTCCTTGCTTTTTAAAAAAAAAAAACAACAAAGAAGCCTGAGTGGCTCCAGGGACATCTGGAGGAGAGTGTCCTTCATGCACACCTGTAATGGAGAACTAAAGAGCAGCACTCTGGAGACCTACTCCCAAAACTAATTATAGGGATTTACCGGGAAGGGGCAAGGACAGGTGGAATTACGGAGCTGAGGGGAATGGTATTTTCAGCCATGGCTATTCAGGAGAGTGGGGAAGCCGAAGGACAAAATTAGGAGTTTGGCATAATTTAGACTACAAAGATCACAAATTACTAATAAGTTATGCCAAGCGCTGCTCCATGATCTGGAGGGATCAAGGTTGATTAATGCTGTCGATTAAAGCTGTCTTACCTGCCCTTCATTCTCATTCTCAGAGATTTCAAAAGTAAATATTATTAAGGGTAAAAATCATAGTCCCTTTGGACAGAATGGTGGTTTATAACTACCTATGTTCTTAACATGCTTGACTGATTAAGCAAATAATTTGTGCTTAATCAAGAGATTTTTTTATCAGCACAGTGCTTACTCAGTGGGTTCAGGGGGACTGTGTTTGTTCTTAATATGGAAAGCCAAGCGTGAAGCTGCTAAAGGAGAATAGGAAAACCAGAACGCAAGCTACACTTGGCTGAACAAAAATGTGATAAAGGAAAATTTCAGCTACTTTTCTAACATTAGACTCCCAAGTCTGCTATCCTG